ATGGACAAGAAAGATCTGTTTCAAAGGAGAAAACAGAAAATATCAAGGTCATATCATGCCTTCTTAATGAGTAGTTCTGTCAGCTGAGGCTAAATACGATTTTCTACTTAGGTCGGTGGCAAAGTCAATAAATTTGTCAACCTTTACCAAACCTGTTTGCTAATTTTGCAATGTAGCTGTTGGTTATTCAAACATTTCCAAAATGGCCCATTGTATAACATAGAGGTGGCGTAGGCTGGGTTGAAGAGAGGCGAATGCCATCGAGTTCACAGTTTCCATGGAAGTCTCATCAGGTTGGAGCAGTTCCCTTGGAGCATTTAGAATGGAAAATCAGCCCTCTCCCATCCTGGAACCTAGGCTGAGAATCCCCTTGGGGTTTCATATTGGGAAGATGATAAATTTGAACTTTTGAAGACTTTATCAAATGAAGCTATCCAGGAAGTAATTTACAACGTTTGTGTGCTAAAGCATTAAAAAAAAAAAAAAGATTATGGAAGGGCCTCAAGTTCTTTGCAGTCTTTTCTACTGGGCAGATCCATCAGGAATCTGGAAGAACCAGTAGAACTGTAACAAAGTTGTAAAACAGTGGTTACAGTGGGAAAAAAAAAGTACTGAAATTCTAAATCTTAAAATAGAAACATCTGCAATGCACTACAGTTTAGAAATCCTGTTTCAGATTTTGTTAGAGTAAATGTATTTCCTGCTTCAAAAAAAAATTCTTAGGAGGCCAACATTCCATGGAGGCTTGACATGTTCTGCAGAACAGGGGCTGGGGATAGAGTTGTAAGAGTGGTTCCACAGCATGCACGACGCCCTGAGTTCCACCGCCAGTACTGAAGAAACAGAGTATGTTGGGGCACTCTTGGAATGCCAGCATTCAGGAAGTAAATGCAGAAGGGTTACAGGTTCTGGGTTATCCTCAGCTCTACAGCAAGTTGGAGACTAGCCTAGGATGCATGAGACCTTGCTTGCCTCAAAAACCAAAGAGAGAAAAAAATGAAAAGAAAGGCAGACAGAAAGCCAAATCTTTCCTGTTTACAGTTATGTGATACATGTGGCTCTTTAAGATAATATTCAATGTTGTCTTCTGTTACTTATTTTTTCTTATTATTATGTAAGTTGAGGCAAAGGATACAGAGCCATGGGAAGATGTCCACACAGGACCTGTGCACTTTCACGGCCAGCAAGTAGTAAAGAATGTGGGGCACACTTGGAAGTGCTTGTCTCACTCTTTTGATGACATGGATAGCATAGGGCCCTGAGATTTGAATTTCATAGTAAAATTTTTGTAGTATTTGTTTGTGGATTGTTTCCCTCTCTTTTGTGACAGCCAGTATTTTACAAAGTAATAAGATGATGACTTTGGAATGCCAACATTGTGGCATCAAAATAATGAATATTCTCTTCACAGGGCAGAACCTAGGTTATGAGGAAGCTGCAGAATCTATGTTGTGAGCTTCTACATCTGGGGCCAGGCTTGGTACACTGGTCCATTGGATAGTCACTTAACCTGCACCACTAGGAAAACACTTGGACTAATGCAAACACTGTGAAAACATACCAGCAAGCTTGGCATCTACTTCATTAGATTTTGAGTTTATGACCCTAAGGGCTAGCAATGACAGTTGACTCTCCCTAGAGACCTGTGCATTATGAATTTACAGCATGGTATAGAGAAGTTATATAAGTCTGGTATGCTGGCACAGACCCATAATGCCAGCACTTAAGAAGTAGGGGCAGGAGGTGGTCCCAAGTTCAAGGTTACCCTGGACAACACACCTAGACTCTCTCTATATAAATAAATAAGTAAATGTGTCACATATAGAAATGTTGAAAAAATGAAGAAAGGTCAGATAATGTGAAGAGAAGTTAAAATGGGAGCAAGGAAAACAAGTGTGTACTTGCAAGTAAAAAATGCATTCAAATGTTGCAAAATTATTAAAAGGTAAACTACTTGGCTTCTTAGTCACCACTAGGGTTGTGTGTCTTCCTTGAATTCGGCTGTAACCAGAATCCATTTCCAGGTATTATTTTGATCCATGACTAAAATTAGAAATTCGAATACAGTCAAGACAAGAACAGGGGTTATCTTCTGTACTGTTGCAAAATGCTGAGGTGATCCAGCTAAGGTTGCTCTGTTTTTTTGTTTTGTTTTGTTTTGTTTTTCATTGTTGATTGATTTTCTGAAGTCTCTTTGAAGACACTGTTGAAGCTGAAATTTCAAGCAGTGTACGTTAGCTGATTTAAATGTTTTGTTTTGTTTTGTTTTTCATTGTTGATTGATTTTCTGAAGTCTCTTTGAGGACACTGTTGAAGCTGAAATTTCAAGCAGTGTACGTTAGCTGATTTAAATATGGGGGAGACAAGTTCTGATTCAACACGCTCCAAGTCTCTCTTGACTCAATAGTTTGGTGCTTAGAGTTAGTGATGCACATCCTAGTATATTCTGTTTGAGGGTAACAGCCAAATGTGAATGGAAGCCCTTCCTCGCTATGTGAGGAAAAGATTTGATTTCAAGTTTCTGGTTTCTCCTAATTCAGTCACACAAAATCCACAGCCTATATTGTGAGCTAGAAAAAGTGATACAAAAGTTTCATTTTTTTGGTTTGTTTTTTTGTTGTTGAAACAGTTCTGGCTGTCCTGGAACTCACTCTGTAGACCAGGCTGGCTTTGAACTCACAGAGATCCTCCTGCCTCTGCCTCCCAAGTGTTGGGATTAAAGGCGTGCACCACCACCACCTGGCTACAAAACTTTTAAGAAAAAAATATATTGAAAAAAATTCCTATTAACTTCAATTTGAATTCTATTTGTCTTCCTTCTGCCATCATTCTCAGACAGGCAAATTACATAAATCCCAAACCATCATGTCAGTCATCCTTGTCCTCACCTCCAGCTCCACCCATCACCTCTTTGTGTACTACCCTGTCAGCTTTATTGTGTCTTTCTTGGGATGATTGCAAGGCCCTCATCATAAGCATCTGAATTCCCGGACTCGTTTTCCTTCCATCTGGATTACTTACTTCATTCCATTCTCCTGTCCGATCAGAAGGCACCATTATGGGCAGAAGGGTTCTCACACTGTCAGAACACGGCCCTCTTCACTCAGGATGCCTTTTGCCTTCTCTTTGCCCACTGGGATCTCAGATGGCCTTTCCTCTTAGCCAGAGGCCTCAAAGCTCCCGGAGAACTTCCGGAATGACCTCAGCCCCTAGAAACTCTTCATTTGACAAGTCCCAGAGGACACTGCAGTTAATCTGTTGTTAAGGGTGACAGAACCCTGTCCTCTGGTGACAGATGTCGTCATGGGAACATGTGTCCTCAGCCCCAACCCTGTGCCCATGTAGACCAAAGCAACTGTCCCCACTTGTGAAATTGTGAAACTTATGAGTTCTTTTACAGGGGATCAGTTAAACTGTTTGTCACCTCATTATCCAGATTTGCCCCATTAGCCACCCTTATAGCCTATATCGCTTTTCCTGTTTTATTTTTAATTTTTAAGAAAAGGTCTCTCTATACAGCCCTGGCTGTCCTCTATCCTGGAACTTAGTATGTAGGCTGGTCTTGAACTCAGAGATCTGCCTGCCTCTGCCTTTCAGATACTGGGATGTGCCATCATGCCTACCCATCATTTTTCACCCTTAAGAGACCAAGTTTGTGATCCTTTACCTCCTTCTATAATGATACTTCAAACATATTAGAACCTGACTGGACATATTGTATTTACTATGTTTTAAAAGTCAAAATGGTATAAATCTACCACCAGCTATATGTGAAATTACACTATGACATGACTGTAAGAAATGATCAGGGTAGCCTGGTAGTGGTAGTACACGCCTTTAATCCCAGCACTCGGGAGGCAGAGGCAGTAGGATCTCTGTGAGTTCGAAGCCAGCGTGGTCTACAGAGTGAGTTCCAGGACAGTCTCCAAAGCAATACAGAGAAACCCTGTCTCAAAAAACCAACAGTAATAAAAATAAATAAATAAATAAATAAATAAATAAATAAATAAATAAACACCATGATCATTTCTTATTTATCACATGTAAGTCTGGTTTTCTTACAGAAGAGAAGCTTTTCTTCCTTTTGTCAAGACCAGACCATACAATTTCTTTATAATTTGGCCACATTTGAATGTGTCAAAATGGTCTATGAAAAAACAAATGGTCTAACCACAAACCAGGGTCTTGGCCATTTGAGCTAGTTTCCATGTGTGTGGGTTTGATTTTAAGTCAGTGGTAGGAATTTTGTGATTAGAATTTTGCTATGTAGAGTAGGTTGGAATAAAAAAGGCCATGGACATATGTTTGTAGTTTTAACCTAAAATACTAATTGCTATAATTCCTCATTACACCTAAAAGTAAGAATTATGAGGAAGCCGAAACATAAAATCCTAAGGAAAGTGAAATGTTTGAAGTATATATGTATTTATTAGCTCCCTATTTATTCTGAGAATACTATACAGTAAAGTTCTTCTCTCGGGAAAACATCTATGCTGGCTCACTTGGCCCACTAGGAAATGGAATTTTGCTAGAAGCATTTAATTTTTTTTAACAATTATTGTAAATCCTTTCTTGCTTTCTTCTCATCTTCATCTGAAAACTTTGCAAGCAGGATGGAATCCTAAATTAGAAAGATTACAATTAAACAGTAGAAACAGTCATTTGAAAAGGAAATTTTTGTTTCAGATTTCCCTGAAATTCATGAGTAGTATTCTTTTCTCCCCGGATTACGATAGCTATTATCCTGTGGGTTGGGGGTGTCAGAGAACAAAAACAAAAACAGAGAACTCCAGAAGTGAAGGACACTCCATTCCAGGTAAGAATAAAGTCATCATTTTAGTGTTAATAAACCAAATGGCGAAAGAGGAAGAGAGAAGTGGGTGGGTCTGTGTACCTCTAATGTTTTGTGTGTTGCACCAACTTGGGAATTTCCTAGCCAGAGGACAATGTTTGGTTTTTATAGGAACAGGAGTTGACAGACTGTCGGGACAGATCATTGCTTCTGATTGGTTATGAGGTTTATTTAAGCCATAAAAATTCAAAAGGCACTCTTACTCTCTTGCTCTCTTACCTTCCTTTTCCTCTTTGCTCTCTGCTTTTCCTCTTACCCTCTTTGTCCCTTCTCAGCTCTCTCCCTCCTACTCTCCTCCCCCCCACCTGTAATAAACTCTATGGTTAATTTTAAAAAAATTAAAAAGCAAAGAGCCTGAATCTGGGTTGGTTTCCATGCCTTTCTCATGTCCCTTTCAGAATGTTTAGCTGATAAACTTTAATTGAGAATACATTATTTGCCAACATATTTGAGCTCCTCCTCTGGTGTGTGGAGAGCTAAGTAGGTTGTTTCTTTTAAGGAGAAAATACACAAATTTAGAAATTCTTTGAAAACATCCCACAGCTTGCTTGCCCAGCACTCTGCCTCTGGTGAGGCAGTATGGTTGACAGTGGGTTATGGTCTCCAACTCCCGGCTCCTTCAGTGACTCGGTGCTGGTGGAAGTTCTGTCAGTCTGTCAATTTTCTTCTGAACAGGCTAGCAATGCAAAGGAAAATAATACTCCTGTGTGACCAGTATCATCTCTACATTCAATGACATTCTACAGTGTGACAATTTAATGTCTGTTATGTTTTCTTTTCCATTGTCAGTTCATAAAACTTGAAAAATTAATGCCTCTTGATCTAGCCACTGACTGCACAATAGAATTTTGAATGCAGTGTGACACTAAAGTAAAACTCTCAATTAGAGCTTCATTGTACAAAAACCACAATTCTAAAAGCAAATAGAAATTGGTGTGAGCAATGTTGAAGCCAAGTGTATGACAGCAAACTAAGTTAGCGTCTCTCTTTTAAGGTGACGCAAGCTGGACTGAGGGAGGCGTTGGGGCAAGAAGGTGTTGCTGTTGATTGGCTTGTGTCGTTCACTCCCACTGGCCTTTAAATCATTGTCTTGCTTTCCAAACGTTCAGATACGTCACCTCTGTGACAGGGGTCTGCCATCCCAAACAATTCATGAAAGACTGCACAGGACTGGATAAATAAGTAAGGTACAGTTGGTTTTACATAAATGTTTACAGATGACAATAGTGTTGACTTTTTTTCTTTATATTGTATTGATTGCTTATTCACTACAAATTAAAATGTTTAAAAAGACTACATGGATAACTTTTAAAAGATCAGTTGAAAATATTATCAGACATTGAAATTATTTATCCAGATCCCAATTGCATTTTTCTTTTGCAAATGGTTTTAGGTCTGATCCGAAAATTGGACAGTGGTTAATAGGAAAAGGAAACCCTGCAAAACTAGCCGGTAGCGGCAGTTGCACGATTTATGCTTCCGGCAAATCACTGGCTATAGTAAAAGTTGTGAAGAGATACATAGTTGTAGAAGAACTGTCTTCAGGTGATATAATTCAACAAAACCCACAGCAATTTAATAAAAAAAAAAATGTCCCATGAGTGAAAGTGGGAATGGATGTTTGCCCTATCTAATAAAGAAGACTTTTGTCTTCCATATTTTTTCAACTTGACCATTTTCCAAAGAACATTGTTTTAAAAGAGTAAAGACACAAGGAGAACCTGTGGGATTGAATAACCATAAATAGGACTTTAGGTTTTGGAGAACTAGAATCAGTGATGTAGAATTAGCTGTTTTCAAAACTGCCAAGGGGGCAGGGGCTTTTCACATCTGTGCATCAAGCATCTGATAGAGGAGCTAGTGATGGTTTTCATTAAACAGACTAAAGCAAAACCAAGAGCATTTTATAACCCAGTGGAAACATTCTTGGACAGTGGTTTACAATGAACCTTCTTGGCAAGTTTAACAGAGTTAGCTGCATTTTTCTAAAAAGATCACAATTCTTTTACAACCTGAGAGCCTCCAGTCTAGATTTATACTTTAGTTATTTCTAGAATTCTCTTCATAGTGCTGAGGCACCTAAAAAGTACAATGTCAGCATTTAGGGTTGTGATGGTCAAACTTGAAGGTTTTCTCTAACTGTGTTTTACAATATGTGACAAATGTTAGTGGGATTGTTATTTTTAATATGGACATTGTTTTAGTGGAAGTGAAAATTATTTATTTTGGGGAGAAAAAGAAAAAGGTATCCCCAGAGGTGGTCTTGAATCTGTTATGGAATGAAGACATTTGGGAATGTACTGTATTCATAGTCATGACATCACTAATTTATATAGCCCTAAGAGTTTCTTTGACAAGATCATATGTGCTATGTTCCCCTGTATGTTCCATAACATGCTATTGTATGGGAAAACAACTAGTGAAGTGTAGCTGTAGGTTTCTGCCTAAGATAACTGCATCTTCACTTGAAAAAAATCTATAAGGAAGAAAGCATGTTCCAATTTCATGAATCATCTTCTAGTCCTACTGTTAACAAGCATATCATACTTTTGTTTTGAGGCAGGGCTTCACATATCAGCCCACACTGGCCTAGGATGCAATCTAGCCTAAGCTGGCCTCGCACTCAAAGCAATCCATCTGTCTGGTTTGCAGTCACAGGCCCCTCCCTCACCTGGCTAAGCATGTAAACTTTGTGGAGGACAAAGCTTCAGTATAGGGGCCAGTTATTGGAAATGTTCTAGTTCTCCCTAGATGTTATTTCTAAACTGTGTCTCAGTATGGGACAGAGAAAGAATATGAAAATACTGAAGGAAATGTGAAGGGTTCTTTTCTGAGAGCTCCTGAGACTGTGTTGTGTGTGCGTGAGTGTGCACGTGTATGTGTGCCTGTGTGAGTGTGCATGTGTATGTGTGCGAGTGTGAGTGTGCACGTGTACGTGCGTGTGTGTGTGTGTGTGTGTGTGTGTGTGTGTGTGTGTGTGTAGTGGACACGTGTGATGGCCACACGCCTACACTAGATGTCTTCTTCATGCACTCTCTACCTTATTTTTTAGATAACATTACTCACTGCCCCCACAGCTCATGGATTTAGTTGCATTGACTGGCCAGGAAGTCCCAAGAGCCTTTCTGTCTCTGCCTCCTTGGTGCTGGATTACAGATAGCCACCACCATGTCTAGCTTTTTTATTTGGGGACCAAACTTAGGTCTTTAGGCTTGTATAACAAGCACTTTATGAACTGGGTCATCTCCCTAGCCCCTCTAAATGTTTCCACGGAAGGCAATTTCCGTGAGAAACAGTGAGTTAGATAACCAGTTTGTCTTGCTATCAAAGTACAAGTAGGACTCACTGAGGAAATTGAGGCCCTTTAACATTAAGGTAATGTTAGATTGGTTTCCATGCAAACACTCCGTTTTATTTATCTGAGGCACACTTTAGGTGTGACTTTAAATCAGTTCCTCATAGAAGATAATTGGGTTTCAAGTTGCATGGGCAGCTGCTACTCACTTGCCCAACCCAGGGGTCACTGCCACGCTGGCTGTCTGCTGCCTGTGCCAGGCTTTTGGAGTAGACTCATCAACACTGAGATGATCTGAAGGACCAGACCAATGGCAGTGGTGGAAAGCCTGCCCTGACGTCACTAGCTCCCCTTCCACTGTCCCTTATCAGGTAGGACAAATGTTTGCAGTCCCCACAGAAGGTCGTCACTCTAGCTTCTGACTCAGGACAGTTTTGTTTGCCATTTTTTGATGTCTTAGTTTGGTGACGAGCCACAACACTGGAGAAACTTCCCATTTTTCGATATCTTCCACCATGACCCTCTTATCAGCAATTCAAAGGAGAAAACCCTAGCACAGTTGATAACCAGGTTAGATGTGAGGAATTTGCTGCTTGAGACTCCTGCTAACAAATGTGCTAAACTGAAAGAAAGTCTGCTGATATGACAGTGTCCCAGTACCACTTTAAGTTTTGACTTTGCATCTCCACAGATAGATGATTTGAACCCAGCCGGGCTGCTGAGCTCTGAGCAGGATGATCTAACCTGTTTCTGTAAGACTTCTTTATGTCATGGAAAGACCGAGCTAGAATAGAAAGGAAGGCTGAAGGACAAAATTCAGCTCAAACACTGATTTTTAGAGGCGCTCAGAGCATTTTAGGGGCAATGAAACTCTTCTTTCTCTTGGTGATCAGATAAACTTGCTGCTTAATTTTGAAATATTAACCACACACCCTCCTAAAACTAGCAAGTGTGTACACCCAAGTCTGTAATGACTACAATGTCAAGTTGCTTCAGTGTTTCCAGACTATAATAACAGTGGGCACTGTGCTGGATGCTAGGAGTATGTAGTGTGCAAACCTGCCCCCTACTCCATTCTTGTGAAGCTTCCTCCCTAGTTAGTCAGAATGGCTATTAGATAGTCACACGTGTGGAAATGTGCCCACAGGATGTGAGGAGCCCTGCAGGGGAAGAGAGCATGTTATGAGAACATGGGAGGTTTGGTTCAGATGAGTGTTGTGAAGGGGCCTTCCAGACTTGTGGCCTTTTAAGTTGCCCTGGAGATGCCTCCAAAGGTGTACAGGGAAGAGATTTCTGCCAGAGGAAACAACACATGAAGAGATTCTGAGGTGGCAATGGAAAGCATAAGATGCCGGGTGACTCTCTGAATGTCAACTGTGATTGAATTTTGGTGCTAATGAGTATGAAGTTCAGAAAGTTATGGGGACATCACTTCAGGTTAGTGATCTGGAGCAACCATGGTGGGGTCGATGTGTTCTATATTGAAAAGGGACTGATAGGTCTTGGATGTGGGTGCACTTGAATATAGTGGTAAGAAACAGGGACTGGAAGTATTAAGGTTGAAGACCAGCTTCATCCAGTGAGCACCCAGTAAATAGAGTGCCTGCCGTGTGCTGATTCAGGGAGCAAAATTTAGACCCACAGGAAGGGGCTTGCTCAGCCTGGATGTTTGCTGGCATTGTTCTTTTCTATCTTACTCATGCTCCTATATGCTGATTATTTCAGTAAATATTTTGTCAGAGAAAAACAGCAAAGATGTTCATTGTGCTATATATAAAAATTTTGTGTTTTCACTCCTTTCTTTAATAGGGTGAGTTCTTTGAGTTCAGTACTCTGCCTTAAGTCATTCTCTGTGACTTCCAAAGTTTCTGGTTTGTATCTCATTCTCAACATTTATTGAATGAATAAATGTCACTGTGAAACACTTTCACTCTTAAATCTATTTATGTGATTAACATAAGGGTACACTTTGGCAATGATAATGTGACACTTACTTTGTGCTATAGACAATTGATTTGAAGTATTCCGTGTGTCATAGTGTTCCAATACAGCTGAAATTGTGCTTGTCACTGTTAGTTCTTTAAACTAAATCCATAACTGGGTATGGAGAAGTAAAAGGGGGCTACACATTTTGTGAATGCTCCTTGGAGATAACCAAAATCAGGATCGGGAGCTAAGGACTCAAACTATTGTATGGGGTATATCACTCTCCAAAGAGAATAAAAAGGTGTTTTACATATAATAAAAGCTCTATAAAAATAAGTTCTTTTCCCACCTTGCTTACAAAGTTTGCAAGAGTTCTGAGAACATAAGGTCCTCTTTCAGGGTGTCTACATGTATCCATGTTAGTATGTTCAAATGCAGGTAGAGACAGAGGTAGGAATCTGATTATTGGAAGAAGGAAAGGGATTCAAGTTTATTGAGGCTCTCCTAACATATCAAACTTAAACTTTGATGATGTTGGTTTTGTGGTAAATGATATGACTCCCATTTTTTTCTGAAATGGGAGATCATCAGTTAGGTAATATGGCCAAGGTTTATGCCTAGTTCTTTTTGCTACCACAGCTGGAGTTCCTGTTCCCTACCCAAGCCTTAGTTCTCTGTGGTAGAAGGAGAAATAGCGTGGAGGCCACTCAATATGTATGTCCACTCCTCATTTGTCTATGCAAATAGAGCAAGACTGGTACCCACTTTAGAGGGTTGCTGTGAGGGGTCACCTGGGGTGACGTACACAGAGCCTTAAAATAGGCCCTGGCCTGCTGGACACACAGAGTAGGTGCTATGTGAGGTTTGGTGTCTTCTAGTTTAGCCTGGTGGTGGTGGTGGTGGCAGTGGTGGCGCACGCCTTTCATCCCAGCACTTGGGAGGCAGAGACAGGTGGATCTCTGTGAGTTCAAGGCCAGCCTGGTCTACAGAGCAAGTCCCATGACAGGCTCCAAAGCTACAGAGAAACCGTGTCTCAGAAAACCAAAAACCAAAACAAAACAAAAAAGGTAACTTCTGGTTTAGATCCCAAGATTAGCATGGTTTTAGGTGAATGATGTAATGAAGTGAAATGAACTTTAGCTGAAACTCCTGGGCTGTGGACAAAGGTCTCAGCCCTGAGCTTCCACGGAGGTATCTTTCCTGATTCTCAGACCAAGCTGGAGCCTATGATAGAACTTCTTGTAATTCTGTAGATGGGAAAGCTGAGTAAAAGATGGAGTAGAGGAGGAAAAGGCCATTTGGGCCACTGTGACTGGCAGGTGCAGCTGGCCTGAGGTAACAGAGAAGGCAGTGTATTCCCCAAACTACAGACTAGTGTAGCTATGGCTACTAGACGAGGAGAGTGGGGAAGGAGATAAAACCAGAGACTGGAGAAACATAGACCATATAGACAGATGGTAATGCCGTGTTAGGCTGGTGAGAATGTGAATGCCACTAAACGGCATTCTGCAAAGGAAGGGTATGACAAACTCCAGAAGTTCACTGTGCTTTTGTGTGTGGAGAATAGCTATGGGGTAGGACTGGTTTGAGCAGGTTCAAGCTCAATTAAGACATGTCTACTTAGACAAGTGATGGTGGAAGGAATGGAGCAAGGTTAGACCAGTTAGAGAAAAGCTTGCGTTGCTTTTAAACACATCTTACTTTGTGAAGGACTGGAGGTTGGGTTAAGAAGGGATATTCACGATAGTAGACTGCTGCTTCTGATAAATAGTGGTACCACGTGGCAACCTTCTTAGACTAGCTTGCGGTGGAAGCAGAAGACGATTTTAGACATGTGGAGTTTAAATGTTGAAATATGCAGGTGTCACGTAGGCCACTGGGCACATGGAAGCACAACTTAGAGGCAAAGCCTGGGCAAAGATGTAGCTTGAAAATCTTGTGTGTGTGTATTGAAAGTGAAGGAAACAGGACAAACGGGAGGTGGGCAATAGGTAACTAGATAGTTGACAGATGTGGTCACAATATATGATGGGAATTGGCCCATGTGATAATGAGGATGTAGAGGTCCCACGATCTGTCATCTGTAGATTAAGAACTAGAAAGCCTAGTTGAATAATTGATTCTGAGGCGATGGGTCTCAAAACCAGGCAGCTATTTGCATAAGTCCCTGGATATGAAGGCCTGTGAACTAGAAGCATGATGGATGTTCCAGGTTAAGGGGGGAAAGTGAGTCTGCCCCCCCCCCGCCATCTTTTTGTTCTGTTCAGATTCTCGGGTTGTCGGTTCAAGCCCACAGGTCTCACTGGCAGAATATCTTCTTTAGTGGGTCTATTGATTCAAACTCTAACTTTTTCCCAGAAACAGATTTATGGACACTCTGTTTGAAGGACAGCCTCTTATGGAATTATTTGGCTATCCCTTAGCTCCATTAATTTCACAGTGAAAAGTCTTAAAAGCAGGTAGAAGGGGTAAGGGGTATGGCCTCTAGAGAATTGAGCAGTGAGACTCAAAAAAAAAAAAAAACCCATGGAAAGCATGACAGGTAGTAGCTAGTGATAGCATCAAACTCACGGGAACTTTGAAGAACTCGAAACCAGAAAGCAGGTAGGATTGGGAAATCTGAGAAAGGGGACAAGCCTTGGTGTAGGTTTTGTTTTTGTTTTTGTTTTTGTTTTTCTAGAGGGTGCTCTTGTTGCAACACCAAGTCATGTCAACATCTTCAAAGAGGAGCATAGGCCATGGTGACCAGTGACAGTGTTTGCCAAGGAACCTCACTTTGGGGCACTATAGTCTGTTTGGGTTGCTGTTTTTAAATTTACCTCTTTTTAGAGAATTTCATATATCAGTACTATATTTATATCATTTCCACCCCCTCCACCTGCCTGCTCTAACTTCTCCTGTGTCCCACTCTCTTTCTTCAGTTCATGACCTCTTCTTCTATAGTTATAACTGGTACACATAAATACAGACATTTATTAAAAAGAAAACCTACTGAACCCACTTAGTGTTGCTTGTATGAACATATGTTCAGGGCTGACCCCTGGGATTGGATAAGCTGGTGGTGGCTCATCCCTGGAGAAGACTGATTCTCCCTCTCAGCAGTCATTGATTTCCTATAGCTCTTCATTTCTGGGTAGGCCTTGTGACATTTCCCCTATCTGAGTTGATAAGTTAGCTGAGGTAGACATTATATAGGTCTGTTGAGATTTCATGGTTGCACTTTCCCTAGTATGTCTAGAAGATACAGGAGTCCTGGTTCTCTGGCTTTTACAGTTTTTCCACCCCTTCTTCGGTGATATTCTTGAACCTCAACGTCTAGGGGGTTTGCATTGTAGGTATATCAGTTTGGACTGTGTATCCCATGGTCACTTACTCTCTACATTTTGACCAGTTGTGGATCTCTGTATGTTGCCAAAAGAAGCTTGTTTGATGAGGGGTGAGAGCTGCATGTATTTGTGTGTATAAGTATCTAGAATATAGTTAGAAAGTATATCAGCTTAGGAAAATGGTGGCCTGCCATTTTTTTTTACATTAATTTTGTAATCTAGTCCATAAGGAAGTCCTGCAAAGGACTCTGTGATGGGTCCTTGGGCCTTGGCAACAGAGAAAGAAGTGTACCAAGTAGGAATGGAAGCCCCAGTCCCTGCGGCAGCTGTACATAGGAGTGAGCCCTGCACCATGCTCCTTCCTCCACTCAGGATCTCCTCACACATACACGTTGCAGAGGAGCCACTTTACAGAAAGATCAGCAAAGGAGCAGGTGGCACTGAACCAAGCACACAGAGCCTGAGAACCTGAATACCCACTGTGGAATCAGGTTCTGAAGATGCCAGTTCAATAGCTTTATAGAGAGTTTGGAAACATTGTGTCCATACATGAAACAACAGAAAGAAGACCTGAAAAATGAGGAAGAGGGGGAGAAAAAAATCAGTGGAAATTAAAAGCATGATTTGTTAGGTCCAAAAAACCCCTAGGGACACATGGCTAGCTGTGGTGACTATTAGCATACCAAAGTGCATGCTGGCTACCATGTTCTCTCGGCATCACAAATACCTGTTACAGCATCCATGCTGCCATCCTGGATCTTCTCACCCTGTCCCCTACCTAGACTTCAGTTCATGGCTTCCTTTTCTTCAGCTTCTCATTCCTATATAATTCGGCCATTTTGGCCATGTGCCCTCCCCCCCCCACCCCTTTCTCTTGCCTCTCTCTTGGGCTTCCTCTGTTTCTCTTCTTCTCTCACTCTCTTATCCCCTCCTCTCATGGCCATGTTTAATCTACTACTTTCTCTCCCTGCTAGACTTTCCCTCATATCTACAATAAAAAGCGTCCCCCTCAACCACATACCTTGTGAGGTCATGTCCTCACTTTATACGGGTGAGGGGCATCTGGAAGTGTCCACAGCAGAGAGAATTGGTAGTAGACTGGACATGCCTGAGGAACAGAATGGATTGTTAGCTAGGTTGAAAAGAAAAGATATACCCAAAGATCTGTTTATTGTTTGGGACATGGCATTGAGAAATTATACCTGAGTCTGGATCAGTAAGATAAAGAAATGGAAGGTGTGGTTGCTACTTGATTGACAAAGGAGCCACAACGTGCTGTATTTAGTACGTCTCACCTACTACACAAGTCAGCTTCCTGTTATTAGGACAAAACACCAGAGGTGATCAGGTTAACGGAGAAAGGATGTGTTTGGGCTCATGGGTTTAGAGGTCACTTGAATGCCCTCCTTATTCTGGACCTGTGGGAATGTCATTTACATGGTGGTAGCACATGGCAGAGACTTGTGTATTTCATGGTATATGGAAAGCAAAAGGAAACATGGGAGAGGGTGTGTCCTTCAAAAGCCAGCTTCCAATGACCTGAAGGTTCCTGTACTTCCTACTAGTGCTACAGACTGAAAACCTAGCCTTCAGCAGGTGGGCTTTGGAGGGACATTCAATACCACATTGTCCAAGCATAGCAGTTTCTCCACACAGCAAACTAGAGAACTGGCTGTTAGCTGGCACATGGAGCTTACCACTGCCTCCTAGTGTCTCAAAGGAGTCGAATGCAGTCCAAGAAAAGACCAAGATACATTGTAACTTCATAAACAAGGAACCACTTGTAAAGGGAGAAGTTGAGCAATCCATACCAACAGGCCCACAATGGCTTTGAATAAACACAGGGGAAGAGATACATAAGATGACTTTAGACAATGTCAGACAAAAATGTTCTTTTGTTCTGAAGAAATCGACTTGTCTTTTGATTGAAAAGGTGGATTTTAAAAGCTACCCACATCTGATTTCATCCTGATGGTTTTAGTTTGGTTTTTGTTGCTGTGATAAAACACTGAAACAAAAGCAACTTGTGGGGACGAAAGATTTTATTTTAGCTTGCAGGCTAAAATCCATCATGGAGGAAAATCAAGACAGGAGCTTGAAGCTGAAAACATGGAGGAATCCTGGTTACCAGGATAGTTTTGTAGATCAGGACGAAACGAATCCAACATTGTAAGTCTATTTCTTTAACTGACACAAGTGAGAGTCGGGATAGAAGAAAGTATGCCACTGTCTTATCACAGCCACCTATGCATATTTGACTTAAGGTCAGAACGGCAGCCTTAAGGACCAGACATCAGAAAGGGTTGAGCAGCTCCTGTCTGGAAATGAGACTGGGCAGGCTCTGGGCAAGGGAACCACCTTGCTCAGTTTTTGTTTGTCATTTTCTTTTTAGGCATCTACAGTTCTTCCGTCTGCACCCCATACATGTCTTCTCTTGACTTTATCTTATGCACTTGTTCGGTCTTGTATTAATAAAGGTTTCATTCTCATCCCTCTGGCTTGAAGTGCATGTCCTCTTTGAAATTCTGGGGCCTGCTGTTTTTCCATAATTCTGAACCTGTTCTTAGTCAAGTTTCTCTTTCTAGTCTGTCTCTCTGCTCTTGTGATTCTATCACATGAGAACAACTGGTAGACCCTGTGCCAACCTCTTAACTTCTCCTTCACACTTCTGTTTCTTTATCTCTTTGTGTTATAGTTTGAGCGATTTCTACAGCTCTCTCTCCCACTTTCCTAACTCTTCCTTTAGCTGGCTTTTCCTGTTTCAATGGCTGCATTTTTTTTATTTTAGAATTGCTTTTGCATAAACAAAACTTTCCTTGTTTTACAACAAACTTAAATAGATGGTATTTTCTCATTTGGATTTATTATTATTATTATGTCACTTTAAAAGCCTATTTTAGCAGGGCAGTGATGGCCCATGCCTTTAATACTAGCATTTGGGAAGCAGAGACAGGCGGATCTCTGTGAGTTCGAGGCAGCCTGGTCTACAAAGAGAGTTCCAGGACAGCCTCCAAAGCTACAGAGAAACCCTGTCTCAAAAAAAAAAAAAAAAAAAAAAAAAAAAAAGCCCATTTTATATTGCTGTGTGACTTGGGAATCTTGTCCTTTCTTGTGCCATTCATATTAGTGAGTTTCCACATGTGTTTGGAACTTCATAGTTTGGGGTCCTAAGCTCACATCCATAGATGTGCTTCTGGGATTGGTAGAGGTACTCTTGTGTGTAGGTTTCATGTTTCTCAGGATTTGTGGCTTTTTGAGTTCTGGCGCAATTTCTATGATTGTGTCTCTGCTCAGTGTGTGCTCAGCAGGTGGGTAACTCACCTCTCAGAATTACTTCCTTCCAGTACAGTCTTATTTCTGTTAGTATAAGGGCTCCACAGCAACCGAATGCATTTAGCTGTAAGCTTTTCAGAAAATTTCTATCAATAGCATAGGATGATTTATGGTGTTTTTAGAAAAGGCAAATCCAGCTAGTCTCCCTCATCACTTTTCATTGAAGAGAACAAAATCCAAACAAAGCTGTGCTTAGAATCGGTCACTTAAAGACAGAGCACAGTGTAAGACACAACTCTTTGTGGCTGATGCACATTTGAATTCTAAGGTAAACCCATGTGTTTATTTTGTTAGTAGCATTGGCTGTGGCTTGCATCCCAGATGCCTAGAATGTGGCTTTCTAACCTGGATCTGCCCAGCATTGCATATTATCAAGCGCTTTGGTGGCTTGAACTCCTTCATGCTCAGTTAAATTAAGGTATCAATGTTCTTTCTAGTTATAGCTCATAGAGATACTTGGCAGATCTTTCTATGTCAATAATTTACTTTTGTCCTCTCCCCTCTGTTTAAAAAAAAAAAAGCATGCAATCTGCTTAAAAGACCTAACTCTTCACGATGACTGTCTGCTACATCTTGAGATTTTATTATTTTTTTTATTTATTCCTATGGTGAGTTGCAAAATATCTGCAATGCTTTTTTCTTTTTCTTCCCTCCCTCCCTCCCTCTTTCTTTCCCTCCCTCCTATCTTTCATTCTTTGTTTCTTCTTTCTTTTTTGTGTATTAGGTGAGGGAAATTTTCAGGGCATATTTTTTGTGAGGTTTCCAATAACATCGTCCCTTCCCTCGTTTTACAGCAGGCATCTACAAAGTAGGGGATTCAGATTCATGATCCAATTCAAAGCAAATTATACTGGTGTGTTTTGTGCTCTGTTTTCAGAACAGTGTGTTCTGAACGTCAACACGAAGGGCAAGAGCCTTAAGCTGAAGGGGCTGTGGATTATTTACTCTGAAGAAGCTCCTGTGTGGACAGGAAAGCGCTGACAGGTCAAATGGACCCCATGGAACTGAGAAATGTCAACATCGAGCCTGAGGACGAGAGCAGCAGTGGAGAAAGTATCCCAGACAGCTACCTGAGGATGGGGAACTCTGAAAAGGCAGCCATGAGCAGGTATGGGATGAAAAATTGCCAGGCTCTGTGCCACGGGCTTGGAAAAACAGGGTCTTGGTGGAGTTATTGGATTTATTGTGGATCAATGTGAGATAACAGTCTTAACATATCAACTCTCTGATCCTTTGTGTGATTGATTGGAAATTGAAGTTGCAATGTCCTTGTCTCCACTGCTAATGTAACCCATATTTCACTGACATTAGCCTGTTCTGTTTATCTTTTGGGGGACACCCCCCCCCCGAGATTCTTCTTCCTTTGACTATACTTTCAATGTTATGTCTCCAGAGGGTTTTTTGTTTGGCTGGCTGGTTGGCTTTCTTTCTTTCATAGTTTTAGTTTTTGTTTGTTTTTCCTCTCCAAAAGCATATCCCAAGTAATATCATTCACGAACTATTATGGGATCACCCATTAACTACATGGCATATTCTCAGCCTGTTAAACTTTCCATCGGAGTTTCAGGTCCTTCTGTTCACCCATCAATTGCACTAATCAGTGCAACTCAGCCACCTTATTTCTAATAAGGACATTAGCACCTTCCCACTGTCGGGGAAGGGCAGTCAGGAGGAGCAATGCTCTTCCTACGGATGGTCTGGTGCAGGAAGTTTTAGGATTATTGGACTAGCAAGGGGTGAATTGGGGCATTTTCTAAACTCAGTGGTTCCTGAATGTGGTAAAACACAGGGCACTGTTGTCTGCAGAGTGGTTACTCAGCTTCGGAGAAGATTGATCTTCATTTGAGCTTCCATGCAGAGTGTAGAGTAGCAAGCCAGCACCTGATTTTCCAAGGAGTAAGCAACTGTTTGGGATACAAGGATACTCAGCAATTCTGTGCTCTTTCCTTCTCCATCATTGCTCTTAGGATGCTGGCCCAAGTCTGAGCTGTTAGAGTGTGAAGGAACACGCACAGGTGTGAGTGCTTGTGGCCAGTGGGTGAGCTAAGGGAGGATCCAGTCCCAAGAACAGCCCAGAATCCACAGTGGATGCTGCTGTTCAGCTTTACAACGTCTTCTAAGCTACTCACACGGACGTACTTTCTAAACGAGAACTCATGCCTAAGATGTCAGTTTTGTGATTTTACATCCACCTTTAACGGATGGGTTTTGTTTGTGTTTGGTTAAGAATGCATCTGTAATTGTACCTTTTTTTTTTAAGTCACATACTTTGGTTGGTGTCATTTTCATATGTTTTCAATACATGTTGCCTGACATTCAAATATTGAACATGCTGAGGGCATTTCTCACATAGTTTGTACAAGCTCAGTCTGTTGTATGCCTACATCTCATCTCATGCCAAAATAAGAACATTGCAAATGCCTCAGAAATAAGTAATATGCTTACTTTCAAATTCTAAGTTTTAAAAGCCACTCATGCAGTGGAGATTTTAATTTGCTGAGTAAAATAAAACTAGAGTGTTGGACACACTTCAGTTTAGATTGTACTGGAAGAAACACTTGTTTTTATAGTCCTTTGTCCCATTTTACCCTGTCATCCCAGGTTCCAAGTGTGAGCATTATGTAACAGTTCCTACATAGCTAGCATATTAAACAGAGACTGTTAAACCACTTAAAGATGGTAGGAGGACTGTGGAGACAGAAGAAAGCAGCAGCGGGGTCGGGGTGGGGGCGCAACAACTGTGTTTCATCTAAGAAACCTGGGGCAAAGCTAGGAAGTGTTTTTTGCTTGTACACTCAGGACTATTACTCTGTGGTTCCTAGAAACACATTGAAAGCTTTGTGGGTGTGGGTATTGTGTTCTAGCTATACTTTGTGTTGGACACTGTCTCTGTTGTGTTCTAGCTGTACCTTGTATAGGACACTATGTGAGTGTCTCTGTTGTGTTCTAGATGTACCTTGTATTGATACTGTGTGAGTATGTCTGTTGTGTTCTAGCTGTACTTTGTATAGATACTGTGTGACTGTGTCTGTTTTGTTCCAGCTGTACCTTGTTTTGACACTATGTGACTGTGTCTGTTTTGTTCTAGCTGTACCCTGTGTTGACACTATGTGACTGTGTCTGTTTTGTTCTAGCTGTACCTTGTGTTGACACTATGTGACTATGTCTGTTGTGCTCTAGCTGTACCCTGTGTTGACACTGTGTGACTGTGTCTGTTGTGCTCTAACTGTACCCTGTGTTGACACTGTAAGTGTGTCTGCTATGCTCTAACTGTACTGAGTATAGACACTGTGTGAGTGTGTCTGTTGTGCTCTAACTGTACCCTGTGTTGACACTATGATGTGACTGTGTCTGTTGTGCTCTAACTGTACTGTGTATAGATACTGTGTGACTGTATCTGTTGTGCTCTAACTGTATTATGTATAGATACTGTGTGACTGTGTCTGTTGTGCTCTAACTGTATTATGTATAGATACGGTGTGACTGTGTCTGTTGTGCTCTAACTGTACTGTGTATAGATACTGTGTGACTGTGTCTGTTGTGCTCTAACTGTACTGTGTATAGATACTGTGTGACTGTGTCTGCTGTGCTCTATCTGTAATGTGTATTGTACTCTAGTGTCCGAGAGTCCCCTTGCTGTGCCTCTTCCCTCGCAGAGCATTTTCATGATTAGCTACTGTTTAACAGGCAATTTGAAAGATCTCCTGGAGCAATTCATTTTTCATTTTATATGTAAGGGCTATCTTCCTAACAACTCTCCAACTGTTTGGTTTTACTCTAGAATTTAAAAAATGCCTTAAAAAACCAGCTAGGAAGTCCTTTCCAGAAACAGGCAGAATTGAGCATGTACTGGAGCAACAAAGGCTTGTGTTATATTTTATAATGGTGGCAGCTGGCCTTGCTGGTCAGGCCTCTTGGAATTGAGACTGGCCCCAGGTCATAGCATCAACACTCCTGGCATGTGACTGCTGGAGCTGACCAGTATGGGAAGGGAATGGCATCAATAAACTTGTGCAGCCTCCAGACTGTGCTCAGGCAGATCATAATCACAGTGAGCCTTATGGCTCCTGCGTTAGTTAGTTAGTTAGTTAGTTAGTTAGTTAGTTAGTTAAAGTTTAGTTAGTTTAGTTAGGTAAAGTTTAGTTAGTTTAGTTAGGTTTTCAAGACAAGGTTTCTCTGTGAAGCTCTGGCTGTCCTAAAATTCTCTCTGTAGACCAGACTGGCCTCTGCTTCCCAAATGCTGGGATTAAAGGTATACACCACTATACCCAGTGGTTCATGCCTTTTGTTTGTTTGCTTTTCGAGACAGGGTTTCTCTGTGTATCTTTGGAGTCTGCCCTGGAACTCACTCTGTAGACCAGGCTGACCTCAAACATAGATCACCTGCCTCTGCCTCCTGAGTGCTGGCATTAAAGGCATGTGCCATCACCGCCCCATGGTTCATCCCTCTTCAAAGTCTTTCTCAACTTTTCTGTCAGTTCACTGGGTTTCATAAATGACTTTCTCAGTTTTATCTATTAGCTATGAATAACCAAAATACATTTTCAGAGTAAAGGCATGTGTATACACACACACACACACAGATACACACACACACACACACACACACACACACACACACACACACACACACACAGAACCAAATACAACCCAGAGTTACTATGCAACTGTTTTCCAAGAAGCAATATAAACTTAGGAAGATGCACCTGCAATGGAGGAAATAGCTATGGAGCTCTGCTGGGACTGTGTCCTGCTGGGACTGTGTCCTGCTGGGACTGTGTCCTGTTGGGACTGTGTCATGCCAGGAAGGGTCACAGGTGGAGTGTGGACAGGTGGACAAGGTGGACAAGCTGCTTCCTTTCCCAACTGCAGTTGCCTTGCCTTTAAGTAGGACCAAGGAAGCTCCTCCCACAGGGATATTTGAGGTATCAAATGAGAGGATTCCCTGAGTATATTTGTTACAAATGTAAAATTAGAGCGGGGTGTGGCTCTATAGAGCCCTGGCCTTTCAGGTTTTGTCTCTCTTAGCACCATAAAAAAATCAACAAACAATAATAAAAGCATCATCTCATCATGGTATGACAGTAGTTTTTAAAAACTCAGGCTATGGCTCTGCACCCTCTCTTTGCAAGCATTCACAAAGGGGGAACAATACTAAGCTCAGTTAATCTCTTTCTTGCATAGTAAGTGTGGGGGGAAAATAGCATACACAGTTTTCAACTGAACATATTTCCTTTTTTTTTTTTTTTTTATAACACCCTCCCCTACCCCACAACTGTTCACCATGAGTTCAGTGGTTGGTTTAACAGGAACACTAGTGTGAAGGAAGAGGAGACAGACATTTTGGACATTGTCTTCCCTGGTACAGTTCATTAGATTGCCCTGCACTCAAACATAATAAGCCAAAGTACTTACTGAGATGTTTTCCTGTTTTTTATTTTGTTTTTTTTTTTCTTTTTTCTTTCTTTCTTTCTTCTTCTTTTTTTTTTTTGGCTTTCCTTTCCTCTCTTGTTCAGTCAATTTGCTAATGAGGATGCCGAAAGTCAGAGGTTCCTAACAAATGGATTTTTGGGGAAGAAGAAGCTGGCCGATTACGGGGATGAACACGTAAGTGACACTCTGCTTTCAGGAGGTAAACACGCAGAAAGGTGTCTGGTCTACCGCCATCTCAGTGGGAAAACAGTGTGATTGAAATTTTCCAAGCCTTCATCAGCACATTCTGTGTTTATTCAGGCCCTTACTGGAATAAAGGCTTGTTTTTCCCATTTGCCATATGGCTGCATGAATCATTTATGAAATTTATTTGTTTTTTCAAGAAATCAATTCTCACCCAAATGTAACCTGCAGCCATACGTTGTTTTCCTCCTCTGTATTTTTAATTTTTCCTGCAACCTATGCTGAGCCAAGACTTGCATTCCATTCAAAATGAAACATTCTTTTTGATGCTCTGAGTAATTAATGTCTTTTACTGGCTGTGGTTTTCTCTTACTCCTCCATTTGGGGATGCAGTCTCTTCCAGGAGATATAATATGAGAAGAATAGCCAAAGGCAAGACTGGTTACTCATACTGCACTTCTTTTCTTCAAGCACCCTGGAACGACTTCCTTCGGAATGTCCTCCTTCAACCTGAGTAATGCCATCATGGGCAGTGGGATCTTGGGCTTGTCCTATGCCATGGCCAACACAGGGATCGTCCTTTTTATGTAAGTGAACACATGTGCCTGTGTTTAGTGCCACGTTTGCATATAACTTGACAACCTGATGCAAGTTCTTTGTGAATGAGGGTAATCTGAGAAAGTATTAGTAAATCACTCTTGCTTTTGTACACACCCACCACTAGAGGAATAGCTGGTCTAATCATGGTGCTTGCTCATTTGACTGTTTTTAATCAAATGGTAGAATGTTTATGTATTCAACCACCAACATGTTCATGCAGCCCATCGATCCAAAGGAAGAAGAAACCATTTCCCAGAGTAGCCCATCACTTGATGCTCAAAATAACGTAGTGTTCAGTAATCAGAAATATTTATCCCCAAAGCAAATCAAATTATTGAATAATCTTAGGAAAAATAACTCATGTCATCTAAGAGCCTGCATGCCCCAATCCTATTCTCTGTGCCTCTGGATACCAGATACAATGCACTGGCCTTTCTTTGCACATGGGCTCAGAGCCCTCTTTCCTGTCTTCATTTAGTTCACTTCTCATAGCTCTGTTCAGCCTTACCTTCTGTGACCTCTGTGACAGGGGCTAGTGTATCATAGGTGTGCCTCCATTGTAACACCCTTGTGTGCTTGTCTGGTTTCCTTAGTTAGTGTCTAGCTCCCTTGCTAAACTACAAGACCCAGAGAACTGGCCCCATTTCTCACCACACACCCTTTCCTAAATCCTAACACAGTGCCTGCAGGACTGTGGATGACTGAAGATTATTTCCAAACCTCTGTGCTTTCTCCACACTTGGTCCAAGGCTGCCTGAAAGCAGCAGTGTTCCACAGCTGACCTATAGAATGGCTGAATGGGGGCCTCACCTGTGATGGACAACCACAGATGTCTGCATGGTTGCACAGAGTTTGGTATTTTCCAAGACACACTTCTCAGTATCTAATATGCACATTAGGTGCCATATGAACATGGAGCCTCGAGAGCTAACTGTCTAAGAATGCAGCACATACACTTTCAATATGTGCTATTTGTGTTCCGCTGTTGCATACGATTAGCTAATCACACAGCTATGTAAGGACTTAGTATCAGAACTATAAATATTTACCTTGTGTCAAATGAACTATTTCATGAATTATAGGCTTTAGCTGAATGGGTTTTTATACCAACTTCAATAAATTGTTTGAAATCAATTAGCTGTTCCCCATCTGAATAATTGGCTCATAATGTATTTGCATATCTATATGCTTTTGTAATGAACACAACCTTTAAACCAAAAAGAATGCTTTCTCATTAATCATTCGTGCCATTAGAAATTAAGAAATTATCACAGATCATTGATGAGCAGAAACAGGAAACACTTTTCCCCAACCATGGAGCCATAGACCACCTTCTGGAGAAGACTGCGGTCCAAATTTAAAACAAAGGCTTCATTTCATTTAGCTGGTTAACTTGACCAGAACCATCACATCTCAACACCATGGGTATTGCTGTGTGCATCTCAGAAACATTCAGTTCTTCCCCTTAGTTTGCAGCAAGTGACATAGCATTCCACTGATTTCACTTTTAGAATTTGTCTCATACCAAGCACATGTTTAAGCTATAGGAATGCTCATTATTCTTCCATGAAACAAAACTACAGAAACTGAACTACATAATTCTTAAAAAAAAAAAAAACAGGTACATTCATACTACATGGATGGGTAAGCATTGCTTAGATGGTCCAGGAAGACTTGGTTTCTGGAAAATCAGGACACACATGGCTAGAGTCTCTATAATTGTGTAACCTGTGGTCTGAATGTACATATACATCTGTGTTCTTGCTGGGATTATCAGATAAACTGTGGAAAGATGTGTGTTCTCAAGTAAACAAAAGGAAAGATTGCTTTTTTGGAATTTCCGATGTTAGTACTGTTGATTTATGACCTAGATGATGCTAATTACATTTTTTGTTGTTGTTTGGGACAAGGTATCATTATGTAGCTCATAATCCTCCTGCCTCAGCTTCTCAAGTGTTGGGATTACAGGTGTGTGCCACCATGCCTGGTTCTACCCATGCTCTTCTTTTTATTTGGGAGATATGCTGATTGGTACTAACATAGAAGCCATTCATACATGTGGTTGTATAGACGGCCCTGATTATTAATGGATACCCTTTGAATATAAGCAAGGAATTGTCCTGCCAGCTACACTCACCATCCTCTGCTTTCTTTATTGTACCTGACCCTCCAGTTAGCAAAGCATCATCCTTTCTTATGTAGTCAAAAAATAACTGGAGTGTCTAAGCCTAGGTTTTGTCATGTTCTCAAACAGCCTTTCACAGCTACCTGTTGATGCAAATACACCATACACAC